TGGAATGTGAAATCCCTTGCCTCACAAGCTAGGAGAGGTCATTAAGAATCTTCCTCTTACAAATTACTTTGGGATTTTATCCTGTCACAAATCTCCGCTTTAGCTGAAGCTGCAAGATGATTTTCCATTGAAAGTCTGTTTCACTGTGATGACTTCCGCTGTCTGTGGCAAAGAGGAAATGGCCGAGGAAATCAAACTGCCATTAACTCCTTGGAGGCCAAAAACAGTTATATTTCATATACTACGAGTTGTTTCCCACATGTAGCCACTATTTCAGTTTACTCCACCTGGGTTTTTTGAATCCTGAAGTTCGTAGAGCATGACAGAGCCAGACCCAACCTTTTAAAGGTCCAAAATCATCTTTACAGTATGGTTGGTGTTATGCTTCTCCATGCACAGAGACCAAACAGATCTTTGTGTTGTTTTACATTGAGAGAACAACAAAGTAAGAAAGAACAAAAGTCTGTAGGAGTCTCTCTTCTGTCAGGATATCTGAGAATAAACTGGATGACAAAATCTGCACATGGGAAGTGTGCTTTTAAATGTAAGGTCTAATACTCTGAAAACAAAGAGCATCAACGTTTCATAGCCACATGCAGCACAGTTCTATTCTGAAAAGTGATTCTGCTAAAAAATAAATGGCATCCCAAATATATTCTTTATCAATCCGCCTCATTCTGATCTCACCAGTTCTATACTAGTGTAACTTCCTTGATTTACAGCCCTATTAATTAAATTATCCTGTATGTGGGATCAGAATCAAGCTATGACTTTTGCTAATTAATAAATAAAAAGTGATGGGCCTGATTCTCTCCTTTGTGCCACTCAGATACTGCAGAACATTGACCACACATGGCCAATTGTGAATACCCTCAGTGAGTGGAAGGAAACTCTGTGCAGGTGTAGCCAACACCCCTTCACCCACACCTCAACTCCAGTGTAGAGGACATCCTGGGAAGGTAGATGGATCACAGCTAGTGTGTTCCTTCACTTCTCAGATGTCCTGTAGTCCCTTAGGAATTGTTGCCAGCTAGCATAGGTCAGAGCAGCCCCTAGGTCATTCTACCCTATGCCAGGGTTGGGGCTGGAGTTGTGCAAGGCAGAGAATCAGGGAGTTGTAACTGACTCCCACAACCTGCTGTCCCTTGCACTGAGCAGATCACAGCAGAGGAAAGAATCTTGCCCTGTTTTTCTAACTTCCGGTGCCACAAACTACAACTAGGCTCTGCAAATCAAACTTCCTCAATTATAAAGGTTTTGCAGTTCCTGCTTAGCTGACAGCTACACTGATAATACTCAAGGCAAGGACGATTACAAACTCATTCTTCCTAACTTGTATAATCTTCAGTGGAAACAGTGCCAAAAATTTGTTCATATCAGTAAAACAAGTATCTATGATTCAAAGTCAAACAGGGATGAATCCTGAAGCCCTTATGTTGGCAAACTCCTACAGCCATCAATGGGATTTTTGCCTTTGCTGGAGCTTCAGAATGAAATTTAGATCCAAGCCAAGAATGTCAGGAAAACTCCAATACCTCTATGTGGCACTCAAGAATTTAACTCCTGGAAGGACAGTTGTTTCTGAACTTTTCTAGGTGGAAGCCCTTGGTATGAATAGTATCAGGGGGTAGCCGTTAGTCTTTAAGGTGCCACCAGACTCCTTGTTGTCTTGGTATGAATATGCTCTCTTCAAAATGTCATATGAACTGTTCATTTCACAACTGATCTATTCTTACAAAATCACAGGTTCCACAAACCAAAGACTAATAATGGCTTTTAAGATGTCAGCAATAAACGGAAATATGGAAGGAAGTTTTCTGACCTTGCAGCACTGATCCACCCAACCAATATTCAGTATTGCCAGTATTCCACTATAAGGGATAATTCCAGATGATCCCAGCTAGTGAAGAGAAACTGGAATGAGACAGAAGGGCATTTATTCTCAACACTATGGAACATTATCATTAAACTCTGCATGTAAGGAGTTCTGTATTAAACACAATCGTCCAAATTGAGAATTGGTCTGAGTGGGTGGCACGGCCATTGAAGCCAATGGACTTGATTCTCCACTTACGGTCTCCTTGTGTAGTCATTTGCACTTGTCCAAAGTGAGGGCCAAAGGGGTGTAAAACATTGCCAAATCAGAATTCTCCACTCACACAGATGCTGAAATTTCATGCCCATTTTCTGCAAGTGAAAATGACAACACTGGGTGGGGAGAGTAAGGCAGTGGAGAATCAGGCTCAATATATTGTGTGTCTTCTCATTCTGTCTCCTCTACCTGGAACATCCTCCCTGAACCCATCTGCCACCCAATCTCTCCTTCAAATCCTTACTTAAAACCCACTTCTTTTGGTCAACTCATTTCACTACTAGCAAATCTAACTTACCTATCATGTTCATCACCATGATTTCTAAGTTCCTTCATGCCAGTTGACATTCTCCCCAGATTTTAGTTTTACACTTATAAAATGTAGCTGCTGTTCCAAGATGTCTATATATCTTACTCTTCCTTTGTAAAACAAACAAACAAAAATGTTTACTGCTCACTCACACAGGCTATTGTTGTTAATTATTATTGCTGTAGCACAAAAAGCACACTATCTAGCATAATGGGAACCTGACTGGGTATGCACCTATAAGAAATACAGTCCCTGCCACAAGGAACTCGCAATCTAAACATATGATGAGAGAGAACAGTTGGAGATAAATAAACCTCCATCTGTTTGAATGTTATCTATGATTTTAACCCCTCTGAGGCAGGTCTTACTGTCTGTAGAGCATCTGGGATACAGTTGGTACAATGCAAATAATAATACAAAGGAACTTATTCTCCTCTAAATTGATGTGTAAAATTCTTTCCCAAATTACTGAGGCAAAAATACACCCTATAATGCCTATGGTAACCATGCACATAATACTGGTCACAACACATACTGATTCAAATCATTATAGCAAACAATATGCTTTGATATGCCTGGATTACTTTACAAGTCTACATTTCCCCTTCACCTGTGTCCAATAAATAGAGGATAGATGTGGTTAAAGGTCACACTAGCATGTAAAAATAGCAGTGTGGATGTTGCAACTCTGATGGAGAGTGGGGCTAGTCACCAGCACTACGGGTGGGCTTGAGAGCCTAAGCTGCCACTCAAGCTGCGACATCCACATTACTATTTTTAGCAGCTAGCCCGACTATACCCAGGCTGGAAGACTTGATCCCAGCTGGAGTGCAGACACATCCGCAGTCTCCACAAGGCAGGCGATGCTCAGGTTAAGCCAGTGTGACATGCTGCAAACTGTCTCCATAGGTTACTACTTTAGATTAAATATGTAGGCAGCTGTAGACTGCATTGAAAAACTTTGCAAGCTGCTATTTGGCTGCTTATCTGATTCATTAGATGAGGATGGGACTCCTAAACAGAGAGAGAACTTTGGACCTTTAGCAACTCTGTCCCTTCACAACAAAACTATCTCCTCCCATCTCATCACCCATCCATCCCTAACCTCTTACTACCCCAATTCAAATAAAATATATTTTATTGGCATCTTACGATGTATCAGAGAGAGAGACACACACAGACTCTGGGTGTGTGTCAGCAGCATCCAGCATTCGCCCAAGACAAGGTCTCACAGCTCATTGGGCAGCTGGCTGCTATGCTGAGCAGTGGTATTGCTGCCATCTTTCCCTGCCCGCCCCCCAACCCCAGCACATTTTTCTTCCTCATTTGTAGAGTGTCTTTAAACTGGGACAGTCTGAGGGAGAGTTCATGTCGCACTCCTTGATATCTCAGATGGTGAAGTAAAAAGTATCTCTGGGTTTTAATCTCAAGCATGCTGGATCCAAAAATTCCCTTCCCCTCCTTCTTCTTGCCAACTCCTTCCCTTCCCAACACCAGCCCTCCCTCAGCCACCTCCCTATACAATCCTCCCATACCAATACCAACCCTTACCCACCCCCTCCCAACACCAGCCCTGCCCCTATCATCCCACCACCCCTCCAATCTTCCCCCTGCCATCCCAACACCACCCCTCCCTCACCTCTCCCAGCACCATCCCTCCCCCTCCCTCATCTATCCCAACAACAACCTTCCCCCTCCCCCTGCTATCCCACCCCCCCTCCTCCCCTTCATCCCAACACCAGCCCTGCCCCTATCATCCCACCACCCCTCCAATCTTCCCCCTGCCATCCCAACACCACCCCTCCCTCACCTCTCCCAGCACCATCCCTCCCCCTCCCTCATCTATCCCAACAACAACCTTCCCCCTCCCCCTGCTATCCCACCCCCCCTCCTCCCCTTCATCCCA